TTCCCACAAACGTATATTTACATGAATCAATGAAGCATGACTTTTTCTTCATGTAAACGACTTTTTCGACCATGTGTTCGTCATAAAATACGTTTCGTTTTTCATATATTCTACTTCTTCCTTTTTTACCTTACCTTTGCGTTTCGTGTTGTTGCAATGATAAAAAATACACTGATGCTTGTATAAGCGTAAATTTGAGTAATGATGATTCATTAGACTTTGAACTTTATTCTAATCTCTATATAAATATTTTCTATCGTAAAATTTTTTTTTGAAATTGATAATTATAGAAGTAGTGTTGAAAGCTTCAAAATAAATAAATGAAAAATTTTATATTTTTTATTTTATCGTTCGATGTATGAAAAACTCTATTTATCACGCAAACTTCGTTAGATGCATCCGAAGAAAGTATGGCGAATGTGCTTTAAGAAGACTCAGGCATTTTGAGAAGTGGGTGTGAGTGTTTATATTGCTTATTCCTACACATCCCGACCCTCAATTATTTGGTTTAAATATCGAAGAATTTCAATCATAATCAAGCAATAATCAACAGTCAATGAATAGAAGTAAAAAGTATTGATACAAATGAATAACATCTTTCAATCAGTATTCAACAAATAATGAATGATTTTAATTTCAATGTAAATCTTTTTTTAATGTGTTGATATGGTATGTTATATTTGTTTACAACATAATGATCATAATGTTGTATCAAGTTCATTAGAAACGCTTGAAATTATACTTAAATATTCAAATATATTTGATTTTGATCAATTATTAACTTCAACCCAAATTGGATCTATAGAAGAGATTCGTGTTGGTGAAGCCTTAAAAACAGGTAAATATTGAGAAAAAAAAACAAGAATTTTTTTCATTTGTTTTTTTTTTCTAAAACAATAGCTTATTCAACATATCAATGTTGTTTTATTGAAATGAATGATAAATTCGATTCAACATCAATGATTAATAATGAAAAACGAACGATAAGCTGCTAAACTTGTTAATCAATTATATTTTTTTCCGATTAGATATATACTTAATATGGATGGTACGATAAAAAGTGATGATGAATCATGTATTAGTGTTAAAAGTGCTATACCAATATGTCAAATCGTATTTATAAACAATTTGATCCATTTGTTTATCTTACTAAAAGTATGTTTAATTCTTGTTTGACTTTTTTTTATAATCCAAAATTATTTCTAATATCGTAACAGTAGGAGGTCTAGGTGAAGGGGATTGTGGCAGAGTTTAGTTGACGTGGCTTCAATTGGTTAAAGTCTCAAAGTTTTAGTGAAAGTTATCTGATAGATATGACAATTTCACTATTAAATTGTTGAAACATATATATATATTGGAATCTGAAAATTCAAGAACGGAGATTTCTGAATATTGATTCAGCAACTCTAGTCCTATTCCTACTTTTAATTTTTTTGAAACCAACAAAAGACTAGAACATTTTATTGAAGCTCAAAGCCTGCATTGATGCATCAGAGATTGAAATTATATAATCACATAACTACCGCAAAAAAAGTTCTAAGCCGAAGTTCGAGATACGAAATCAATTGTATCCTCTAAGAAGTTTTTCTTTAGTCTTTGAAGATTTTTGATTAAATAAAAATTTTGTAACTGATATGAAATTTCCTAATGAGAAAAATGAAATTCTCATCTCTATCTGACTTGAAATACATTAGAATTTATCGAACATCAAGGTATCTTTTTTTTCTTTTCTTTAAGATATTACATATCTTTTATCTTTATGTGAACACGGTGATCTACATTTACGTGGTGCATGTGCAAATTTACTTGTTACATTAATTAAAACAACAATTCATCTTTTAACACTATCATCATTATCAAATTCATGTAATAATTCTTTTATTAAACAATGTTCACTTGTATCAACTGATTTACAAGACAGTTCAAGGTTATATGTCTTAATGATAATAATACACGTATTATATATGTTTCATTAAATGCTTTACGAACATTATTACCTTTTTTTATTAATTAATAGTCATGCATTTACAATCATAGGAATTAAATTATTAGAAGATTCTATTCAACATACTACAAGTTCCTGTATTCTTGCTAAAGTAGATAAAAGAAATTTATGATTATAATAATTCTTTTTTTGTATGTATATAAAATAGTTTGCTCTAGCTCAACTTATGAATGATATTGATTTTCGAACATTAACTTATCTTGAACAACAACAAAAACAATTAAAACAACAGTACCCTGATATACGTGTTCGTCAAGCAATTGCTTCGACTTTTGCTAAGTATGTATTTTGTAGAGATATTAACTAGGTAGCTTTTTTTCGAATTTGAATGAATAAGTTGATTTTATTGCATGTTAGTTATTAGCTACTTTTTGTTTTTAAGGTTTTGTTGATCACAATTCATTTTTACCATGTCAATGGATATATAAAATTCATCATTCATTACAAGCTCAAGCATTAATTGGAATACAAATTGTTTGTTATGTTTGTCTTTTATATAGGTTGGATGTTTAGAAGATATTTATGTTCTTTCAAATGTTTTTAGACCAACAACAATTCGACCAATTTTTTCATAATCAATATGATGAACTTCGTTTATTTATAATTTTTTTTTAAACATCCCTTTATATTACATGATCTTAATAATTTAATCTTTTCAAGTAAAGAGAAAAAAAAAGATATTTATTATGTTTTTTTTTGAATTCTTTCTTTTTATTTGAAGATTTATCAAATCTCAACAAATGAAAAAATGTTTTGAAAGTAGCACAAATAATTCAAGTAATTCGAAAATTGAACTATTTTATCATCATTCTTTTGGACAGAATATAGTTGATATTTCAGTTTTCAGAGAAGAAAGGAGTTCCAAAGTATTAGATTTGAAGAATATATGTAATCATGCTTCGTCTGAACGAATTCATTTGTTTTTCTTTTTAAATAGAATGATAAATATTCATCAACAACATCAAACACAGACAAAGTTAAAAAAGTTAATCATACACAATTAGGTACTTTTGGAAATTATTCGAATTAATACGTTCATCTTATCAAATACATAAAAGTTTATTAAATTCATCAGAAATGATCATTATTATCTATGAAATCAGTTTTAAGTCTTATTTCTACACAAGATTTATCAAAAAAATTTGAAAGAAACATTTAATTATTTTAAATCAACATTCAATATACACAAGAGGTAACTTCTTCTAAATAATAAATATTTATTGTAAAGAAAATTTCAATTATTAATCTTTTTTATTCATCGGGTTAAGCTAAAACCTTTAGGATGTTGTAATGGGTCTGAAACTTGTCTATGGATAAAACTTTCGATGGAAATCTTATAATGAAGGTTTCTGAAAGGGTCTTTCCTAGAGAAGGAAAATTTCAATATAAGAATGTCATAGTAACAGAAAAACTGATTTTACGAATATCGATGATCTTAACGAGAGTAGTTTTGTTGTGAAAGTGTCAGATCTTTTTATTCGGTTCTATCTTGAAATCCGAATATTAAATCATCTAGTTTACATGAGCGATCTGCAAGAAACGCTATCAATTCGAAATTTGAAAATCATTTGTTCTGTTAACACAACATTCATTTAAAAATATTCTTTTAATTTAGTTTTTATTAAATCTTCAAATATTTCCTCACAAGTATCATTCAATAATTCTTTAACTTATATTCATACAATAAGTATTCGACAATCGATAATTTATTTTATTTGGTTCATGTTATGCATCAAGTATAAATAGTGCAATACGAGAGTAAAATAAACAAAAAAATGAATTTGATCTATTCTGTTGTTTTTGTTTTCTATTTTAGTTTTTATTGAACTATAAAATTAGTCTTAAAAAATATATTAATAGAAGTGAAAGTGATTTTCAAGCTGCTGTACTCAATTTACTTGTTCAATTACTTTTAAATCGTGTTAATTATGATTAATTAGAAGCTGATGAAATTCGTTGCATTTCTAATCGTTTCGTTTATTTATAAATAGCATTTTATTTATTATGTTGCTGAATTTCTTGTTATGTTATCACATGATACACTTCATTCAAAACAAGTTATTAAAATACAAGATTTAATAAAACATTATGATTCATTATTAGCAAGTGGACATGAGCCTGAAACACATGGTAGGAAGCAAAAAAAAAACATTTTCGAGAAAAATAAATTATCGTTAAAATTCTTTATTTAGCTTTGGCAGCATTAAAAGCAGCTTTATATGATTTTTTTCTTGTTCGAGTTATGCGAATAATTAAAATTCCTAAAACGTTTTATTACATAAGAGTGTGAGTGTGTAGATGTAATTTTTTTCCTCGATTGAACCCACACTCACACTTCAACAAATCGATGATCTGAAAATAATCATCTTGTTGATGTCCAGAACTCAACAAGATTTAGAGACAGTAATCTTCAGTTATGTATTTAAGTTTGAAGGAAAACTAGGCGTCTTAATTATTATGAATAAAAGTATCTTTTCATGTCATGTGTATGTACTGAAAAAATAATAATAGAATTTTTATTGTTATAGGATTTACGATTGTTAACAGTTATTGTTAATAGTGTTCAAATTGAAGATGATAAATGGGAACGTCTTTCACGACAAATTGTCGATTTACTTCTTGCTCATTTACAATCTCAGGTTATTTTTTTGTTCAAATAGGATCAATCACTTTTGGATATTTATTCCACACAATTAACACTATTTGATGTTGTCTCATCAGTTGCATTACGATCAATTGATCCATTTGTTATTGCTTTTCGAGCATTAGTAAATAGAAATATTCGTTGTTTTTATTTATAAAATTTTTCTGTAGTTCAAAACTTTTTTTAGAATGTCAATTGTCAATCTACAATTCGATAGTTAATCAATATAAATATAATACTTCAATGTCTTGTACAAAATTTAACTGAAGATGCTATATTAACACGATAGAATGATGTTTTATCATCAGTTAATGGAACACGAGATGAAACTTTTAGTGCGTAAGTATTCGAAATGATTTCATTTATAATTTAAAAACTATTATTCTCGTTTTTGTTTTCAGAACTCTTCTTCGTGTTTTACATGACATAATATTATGAATTTTAACTAATACTCGACAATTATGTGGTCAAATCAATATGACATTAGTTTCTCTTGCATCCGATTATCTTTATGTACATATCACTCATTAATTTGAAGATAAAACTTTCCTGCAATTCATTAATTACTAATGACCTAGCGAAAAACATTTGACTTTAAAATTCCTATGCTTATATAAGATCTATGATTTTATTTTAGCTAAACAATTTCGAACAATTGTAAATGATTTTCATCAATTATGAATTCATGATGAAACTGTACATTGTCTTGAGACATTTTCATTTTTAACTATTTTAAATGAATGTTTTAAATTATTATGATCATTATTTTATATCTCATTATTATTACAATGGACACCTATTCTGAATATACTTGATTATATACAAGAAGCATGGTGGTCACCAATGTTAACACCATCATCATTAATAACACATTTATCTATAAGTAGTCAATTACAATCTTATTGTGATTTAATATGTCATCATGAATTATATGTTGAACATTTTACATCAATAACAACACATTATCAATTATTATTATTATTTTTTATTTTATCTTATACATCATACATCAGTTGCAAGTCATTTATTTTTTTTGTGAAAGAATACATTTAGATGAAAGTGGTCTTCTATTAGTTTTATTAGTTGAACAATTCCTTCCATTACCATTAAATAAACAATTATGACCTAAATATATACCATAACTTTTATAAATATTATCAATAACAACATCAATTGATATTATTAAAGAAGATTTTAATAATCTTAATTGTCCTATGGATATAAGAAGAAAAATTTATGAACAAATGCTTAAAAATATAACTTATAAAAAATGATTACCATTTATGATGTCACCGGTATATTTTAGTTAAATAAATAAATATATATGTATAATAAAAATTTTAATCCAATTAAAAGAAATTTTTGTTTTTTACTTTGACATTGTTTATGTGCTAGTAATAGATGAGACTTTTGAATAATTCAAAACTTCGAAAAATATTTTGAAAATCGAAAATATGCAGAATTTCAGGTAATACAAATCGTAAAGGAAAGCATTTAAGCTACGTTAGTACAATGACCGAATAATTTCTCTCGAATCTTATTGATCAAATTCTCAGTCGTGCTATTTGTACTATTACAATTAAAGAAAACGACGTCTTTCTAATATTATATTTTGAAATAAATTGCATTCGAGAATTTCGATAAACTTTCTATAAGTTTGAACTCGTGAACTCTGAAAACGTATTGAATTTTTTCCACAACATTAAATTTTTAGGATGATTCTTATAGTAAATGAAAATTGATTTGAGAAAATACGAAACAATATAAATCTGTTCTTTGTTTGTTTTCCTAGGATTTTGTATAGTTATATCAAATGAAACAAATTAAAATGACATTGAAACAACACCTAATACAATTTATGAAAAAAGTCTTTTATCATGCTTCTAACAATCAACCATATTCAATTGAATTCATAGATTCTCTATTAATATATTTTGATAAAATACACAATCATGTTGAATTAACATGTCAATTTTCAACAGGTGATATACATGATTTATTACGTTTTATAATATTTATATCAGAAATAATTTATATAAATATATTTCAAAAAAAAAACATCATTTCTTAGTTGTGAAACAGATCAAATAACATCATGTTGTACGTTACCGAAAATACTATTATCAATATTTGAATATATTTATCAACGACATGGTTTAACTATATCAAATATATTATAATCATATTTAAATTTAATTGAACCAGATAAAAGATCATCTTTATTATTTAACAAAAAAAAAAATAAATATATATATATAAATCATATATTTATTGACATGATTTATATTGTATAGTTATATTATTATTTTGTTTACCAATATTTATATAAAGACTATTTTGGAGTTGGTTGATTATTAAGAATACAATTTCAAGAAATATAAGCTTCATTTTTAGCTTCAATTAATTCACCACAAATCAATCTAATGATGAAAATAAACAAACAACAAATAATTTAAAAAAAAAAGAAGAAACTTTAGAAACAAATGCAACACAATAGTAACAAGATTGAAAAATAAACTAGATTTTATCTGTTCTTTTTTTATCGGTGGTCAATATATGCAAACACGTTCAATATTAGATACAAATTCAAATACTTTATTTACAAATATTGAACGGTTAGGTACACGTGATTTATTATCCTATGGACAACTTTCATATGATACTATATTAACATCAATCCAAAGTAATAATACATTACCATTATCAGTTAATGTAAGTCTCACATATGTTTTAATAATCGACAAATAGAACTCTAAGTTAAAAGAAAGATAAATTCATTGTTAAATTACTAATTTCATCAAACAGAAAATCTAGTGTTTCTCTGACTTTGATTTGATATATAATACATGCAAATTATCTTATTTCATAGAAATAAAAGCTTATATCAATAATTTCAAATAAATTCTATCAATCAAAAAATTAGATTATGAGCATTTTCTTTTCTGGCATCCATCTATAAAAATATATAATTTAGAGTTTATTTGATCACTTATTTTTTCATCATGGTTTTGATTTAACATTATCATTACAAATTCTAATTGAAATATATGTAATATAAATTAATAGGTTCATTTATATATCTATCTGATTTATTTCCATTATCATAACATTTATCAAATTTATATGATGAATATTTTTGTACATAGTTTGATGAAGATGCTTTAATGATATCCTTAATAAGTTATAATTTATGTAAATCTAGTATATTACTTGAACAAAGACCAAAAGAATATAATGAATTATATATAAATTTAATTGAACGTAATTATAAATTAATAATTAAAACTCATGCATATACATCATGTTTATTTTTACTTGAAAGTCATGAAGTTGATTTAAATTCATATGATATTTGATTATCATTAATTAATGATGATAATTTAACACAAAAAATTATATCAATTAGTCTTGAAAACCTTTTAATAGTTGGTCAATATCCCAAAAATGATATATGGTGTTAATACTTTCATGTATTTATACATTATTACAACGACCAAATAAAAATACAAAATCCATTAAATAATAAACATGTTAATAAAGAACAAACAATAATTGATAGTTCATCAATAATATCATCATCAGATAATATTTTTATTGAACTTGTTGAAGAATTATATGCACGTACAAAACAATCATCAACATTACCATATGAAGCTTTACTTTTATTACGTCCTTTATTATTATTACTTACACACATTAGTTTTTTTTTCGTGCTTTAATTAATGCACGTTATTCAGCTAAAGTTAATGAATGCAATTTATTATCAATGACAAATATTACACAAAGAAAATCACTATGTATGGCTATATGGGGGTTAACTTGTCTAATGTTAAGTGCATGTCTATCACAGGGTGTGGGTGTGGGTGAAGACAAGACCTATAATGATACCCACACCCACACTCTCTTATGAGTAAAATTCTGCCTATGGTTAAATATTCTTCCTAGTTTTCTTTTTAAAAATTATTAAGACTTACACATACAATTAAAATTTATTTGGAAAAGATAAATAGTAAAACATTAATGAAAAACAAAAACTCTTTATTGCAATCCGAAGAAATGACGATCAATACAAAATCAATAAATTTCGCCATGAAATGTCAAAATGGATTTTCATTAGTATATCTTTTACTTTTTTAGGTTTTTATTGATGTTATCACGTTTCAGTGTTCGTTTCGAAGAATCAGACAATCGTTTATTTCTTATTGCTGATCGAAAATAGTATCTGCAGGTATATTAAAAGAAAACTTGCAAATATCAATTGTATCAACAAAAAATAAAAAATCTATTTTATTTATTTTAGTTAACGAATATTGAACATTAACGTCCATATGAACAAGCATTCACACATGAATCAAATCCAGAAAAATTATATGCTGATTTACTTGAACACGTTCAAAATACGGTGTGGATGTAGATGTTGTTTGGATATGTTGATGAATCATATACTCTCTCTCTCTCTCTGTCATCCATAGCCACACCTTCAATAAAGACTAAAAATATCGATTCATAAAATGGAAACATAGCAACAAGAATTAATTTAATTACTTTTTTCTTTTTACTAGAATCGGTCTCTATTATAACAATCATATCTAAATTTTCTAAATCAATCAGAATAGATTGTCGTTTATTTTGTGCTCTAATTTCTGTTTGGCTTATTGATTTATATTTCATATCGTATGTTTTATTATGATTTCAATCATTGATTTAACTAGTAAATAAGTCGATTACATGTATCCATTAAACATATTTTAGCCATTGAAGTTGTAACGAAAACTTTTTTAAACCATGTCGTTAGAGTTTAAGAAAAAGTTACACAAATCTGGATTAAAACTTGCATTTATAACCAGTACTTTTAATAATATCAAGAAGAATGTGAGTATAGATGTTGATATTCTGTTTAACCATATCTACAATCTTTGAATCGTTTTGGTTTAGTAGATTATTTGTAAAAAGCAGCTACCATACTTCATCCTATTGAACTGTTTTCTGAAAATCCATTGAAAATGATAAATTCAAAAAGTCTCGCACTACACCATTGTTTCTTTTTATTCAAATAATAATTCTTTTTTCTTGATTTATTATTCGTATTTTTTATTATTTTATTATCAATACAAAAAAAAATTTCATAATAAAGAAAAAAATTGAATATTTTAATGTAATAAAGCAATTCATCATTAACAGTATTTAACGATAACTATCAGGGAAAGGAATCAAACCAACTTCCACAGGTTCGAGTTCAGTTCGATGCCTGACAAGCGCGGTATTATCCTGTAAAATTATTTTAGATTATAAATTTCTGATAATCTTTTTAATGAAAAGCATTAGATTTTATTTGAAATTTATTTAACTTTTTTAAAATTTATTTCTGGATTTTTGGTAAATGTTTACAAAATGTAAATTGATTGCTTTGCAAAATATTCCATCGAACATCGTTTGATAATCACATATAACATCACAACTATAGAAAAATGATTATAACTTAGCTAATCATTTTTTTTCATATGCTTATCTAAATTTATTCATTTTTTCAAAATTACAAATATCTGTTTATGGAAGAAGTCGTTGTTTCAATGAATAGTATGATGTTGATTCCTGTTCTATTTTCATTACTGAGAACATGAGAGACGATTAGCTTCAAAACTTTTTTCTCACAATCTACTTTCGTGATTTATATTTTGTGTTCTAACTTATTTAACTTTATTTCAAATATTTTTTTTGTTGTTGACACAGTAAACTTTGCATACATGTGACGAAATAAAATAAAGAAATTTTTTTCTCGTAAAATTTAATTTAAACAGAAATATATACAATAAGGTGTGTGTTTTCGGTTCATCTACAAAGCCATACATTCTGTTGTCTAGGAATTCGTTGTATTCTTCACTTTTTCTTCTGGAGAAGCGTTTCTTTTTTTTTTTGATTTTGGGACAATTATCAATTTAGTTTGCGTTTTGTTTCAACAAGCAAGTCATTGCAAATCTTCTAGACTAAGAAAATATTTTTCCACAGTTACAGTTTATTGTCTGTTTCTTCTGAATAGATCAATCAATCTCATTCACATTTTTCTAGCTAATAATTGTCATTGATATCCACTTTTAAGAATCATCAGGATTATAAACTCGATCATTCGATTTCATTGTAATATAACATTACCTGATTTTCTTCAATATGTCATTTCTTGAACTCTTGCAAAGACATTCTTTCTCAGACATTCGCCATCGACAAAATTGAGAAACTCTAAGATATTATCAGTTAAATCTTCTAATCTTAAATAAATATATTTCTCCTTAATAATTGAAAATTCAGATAAAATTAGAATTGACTTGTATCACAAATATTCACTCTATTCGTTAATTAACCTTAAGAAAATCTTATATTTTGTGTTTGAATATTTGGAATATAAATGTTTCAAAAGTTACTCAAAAATAAAAGACAACTTTGCAAGGTCACGATCTGTAAAATGATGATGCTGAAATCTTGCAGAACGCTGGTAGAAGTAGTTAATAGTTATGTTATTGGTTGTTTTAAAAACTATGCATTGAAAAAAAAAACAAAAAAACACATGTCTGTTAACTCCTACTCAAGTATTCGCTAGTCAAAGAAACATTTGAATCATTAGCCTTAATAGTTATTTCCATACAATGTAGTATTTATACACAAATTTTTTGATTGTTAGTAAATTTATCAATAAAAATCTTGAACAAACTGTTCAAATTCTTCTAAAAAGTCATGATTTTTATAAATTTACTTATGCGCTCATAAAAAAAAATGTGTTTTTTCTTAACTACTATTTCCTCGTACATTGAGATAAGTCCAGTGAGTGATAAAGTTAATTTCGCCAACTGTTGTCTTTTTAAAGAAGACTCATGGTTCCACAGACTATGCATGCCTTTTTCTTTTCATATCGAAAATAATTGTTGTTGCTCTTTTTTGAGGAACTATTGCCTTTAGTCAATTACTTTTTGGTTAAAGAAAAGCATCAAATTTTGATAGTATTTGATATCAATATTTTCGAAGTAAATCATCAGTTAAGAAGAAAGTTAGGAGATTTACAAAACTTTCACTTTGATCTGCTTATCTATAGATGACTGAATCAATTTGTTTGATCTGCCTCCTCTATTTCTTTTTTCATAGATCTTTTAAAGTTCTACAAAAGATATCTTTTTCTCTATTGCATTCATATTATCAATTTTGAGTGAATAATTTCATCTTATATTTTTGAGAAAAATTCTTTCTCATAACATCAGTATGTGTTTCACCTCTGCAAATGTTTTATAGGAGACTTATCATTTTAATGGAATAATATTCATTTATCTAGCATCTTCTATTGGATTTTAAAAAGAACAGTAAGATAATTTTAATTAAAGCTGCAAAAATCGTCGAAAAATATATCCAACCAAGTAAGATATGAGACAACAAAATTTCAAAACAGGATACTTTTCAAACATAAGATTGTCAATATGAATATCTTTAGGAATATAAAGAATGTTAAAAAATTAAAATCATAATCATCTAATATGATGAATATTATTCCATTGAAACGATAAATTTTGTATTAAATCTATTCAGATAAAAAAAACACATAAAGCTGTTATGAAAAAAATTCTTCTCAATGAAACGTAAGATGAAATTAGTCATTGAAGATTCGTACGATAGGAAAATAACATTGGACTAGATTGATGCATTCTACAAAATGATATATTTCAATCAATGAACAGTTTATAAATTCATTGTCTTCTTAGATTAACTTGTCATATATGTTTATCTACATCAAAATGGTAATGAGACAAATGCTTGTAAGGTTTCTTATATCAAACTACCAGCTATAACTGAGAGTTTCTACATTGAAAAAACTGATTTTGGATGAGGCCAGAAAGAAGAGATTCACCCACATCCCACAAAAAAGCTTGTCAAACTCGTGAGAATGTGCGTAGGACACATCTGAAATTCATTTTTCTTTGACACCCGTGCGGAAGATGCAAGAACAAAACTAAATGGTAATTAACAGCAGGTAATTTCTTTATACAGTTATAAATGACTTAGTAGTCTAGTGACCATTGATATTTCGTATCTTATATGCATATACACGTTAATTATCGTTTTGTATAAATTAACTTTATCCATGAAAGAGTCTCGAAGATTTACTATATATACAAAATAAAAAGAACAATAATGTTCGAATAAAGGGATATGCAATTGATATTCGTTATCAATCAATGTTCAATTTCATTTATTAATATAGATAAATTAGATTTTAAAAAATAAATATGAACATATATGAGAATTATGAAAATTCTGCAGTCAGACGTCTTTTCTACTCGTGCTTAGTTTGAGTGGAGGTCTAGTTTAAATATGTTACTGTTATTGAACAATGAAATGTTATAATAAGTTTTAACTTTTAAAATATTAATATATAAGGATAAATTTGAAATAATATAATTATTTATTGTAAGAATACTTAAAAATAGAATACATTTCAAGTTGTTTATTTTCGGTCAGTTCTATGTGAGAAAGGAAATAGAACAAGATGATAAAGGGAAGAGGAATTAAAATAGCGTTTGGTATCAAAATGTAACTGAAACCAAATTGATTATTAATAATAATAAAAAATATCTTTTGGTCAAATATTAGTGTTATTGTTTTCATGAACGAGTAATTTTTGTATACATTCCATTGTACAACTAATAAAGAATATTAGTATAATTTAATATCAAACACAGAAGATCTTTTCATCTGATTTAACTTACGAAACAAAATTTAAAAAGTTTTGCTCTATTCATGTTGAAAAGTTCTTATGATCCTTTCACAAAAACAAGTCTAAGTACAAAGAAATAAAGAAATATTAGCAGTTTCATTTTATTATAATCATACAAAAAGTGTATCCTCATCTATTGTGTTACGAATTTCTGTTCGAAAAGAATGAGTATTTGAACTTTGCAGATCATGCAATTGTTTCTCATAAAGTTGATCATATTCATATTCGCCATTAATAGTAAGAAATATTAATTTCGGAAGATCGTTGATAAGTAAATGTGACACTTCAACGACTTGCAAATGAGGAAGTCTCTCGACAATTAAATAGGCAATATTTACCAAATCTGGTTGTCACAAAACAGGAAAAAGATTGAGTTATCGTAAGCCATTTGACATGAGCATTCTGCACAAAGAAATATTATCGAATAGATAGATTAAATTTTCCTCTTTCAAATAACGTTTAGTATCATATTCTGATCTATAATGCAGTTCCTGAGTACGTAGATTAGTCGTTTGCAAAAAGACAAAGAATAAGTTGAATTGAATGGTTGTGTAATACTAAGTGATTTTATTTGATGTCAAACAACGATAGATGGTGATAAAGAAAGAAACTCATCGTTGATGTGATCATAATAGTCACTGATAACAATCCTACTGCAACGAAACAACTTATTATTGAAGGTATGATCTTTATATGGTCATCGACTTCTTCTCAATTAAACAAAAAAAAAACTTTCTATTTATACCAATGCACAGTTTTATGTAGATAAGAATAGACACATAAATATTCATCACTTCTTGATACTGTTACAGCTCTAATAGGGTGTACATGTGGGTGTTCAAAAAAAAAAGACACTCATACCCACACCCAGCTCTTCTACTCACAACTATCGTTGGTGCTGCAGCTGTGAATGACTTATTTGGCTTACTTGTCGTAGACGACGATGTGCCATTAGCATATCGTTTAAAATTTTTCTTGTCCATTTTAATGATAGTGATGGCCTTCTGATTCTTTTTCAATTTGCGTAAATGAATGGAAACATGGATATTTGTTGCACCCTTTATGAATCAGCAAAACAAAAACATTTCGTCTCTATCTTGGGTGTGAGTGAAAGAAATACCAACACATATGCCTAGATGCAGATTCACACCCACATTCACATCCTGAGTGGGCGTTGAGGTGGCCCTCTTCAGTGTCATCTCACCTCCACACACCCACACCCTGAGCTAGGTGCTTAAAATTACAGCAAAAAATTTAACATACGTTGTTACTAAACTCTTTGCCACTACTATAGTCCCTTAAATTCTTCGGTTTTTTTGTCCTCGTCTGCAAACTCGTTTTAGAAAAGTCTCGGTCCCCATCGACAGACTTTTAAAACAAAGACGAGGTTTACTGTAAAATGAAAATAAAATTAGAAAATCCAGAAACGTGAAGGATATACTTTCGAAAATTTCAGAAAGTTTTTGTTTAGGTAAATAAAAAAAAAGAAGAGTCGAGTTTTCGATGAAAAACAACCGCTATTACGAACCTACATTTTCACGATTCATCTTGGTTCCGCTCATCTCTATGTCTCATACCCTATTCACGTGCAGACTTTATCATTCACGAATATTTGTGATACCAGCAACGTGAAGCCGTGCATTTGATCTAATAAAAGCTATCAAGAGTAATTAAAGTGATTGATATAACAAAATAATATTTGTTCTCAATTACCGAAATGCAAGAGGTCATCTTCGAGTATTCTCTTCTCTTCTCACGTATTATCGAATAGATTTGAGATCTTGCAGTGACCAAATCATGATTTCGAAATGATTTTTTTGTTCGAGCTCTAATACCATCTATTATTACTAGACGTTTTTTTACACTTTCCTATTTTCACAAGCAGTGCTTCAATGGATATTGCTTGTTTTCCTTCTTTTCTACCAAAATCCTTCTTTTACTTTGAAAAATTCCTTTCGAAATTCCATCTTTCTTGTACCATGTCGCGGCGACCCCTGTTTTTATTTAATTTTATCAAACTTTTGAAAAATCCTAAGTGCACGAGAAACAATAATATCATGATAATAGTGGATCATCTGGAGATTGGGCTTGCGAAGTGTCTTTTTCACAGTGGTACTTTAACAACGATTGATAATATTCATTTGGATTAACATTATCCGTTTCTTTAAAAACACTTGTTCGTGTATGATAACGAAGTAGAGGTACAGGTTCTTCATCGTTCTTCTTATTTTCATAATCAGTTGATTCGGAATAATCATAATGAGTTTTTCTACTATCATTTATACGTTGACGTTTTAATCCTAATCGACGAACTAATGATGATAATGATTGAAGACTATTGTTTGTTAAACAATTCAACATCAGTACGTGTACAATCACGATTAATATGCATTTCACCACAAAACAATTCGTGTTTCAATGCATTTCCACCATCATATTCATCAGGACTTGAATATGTTCTAAAAAATGATAATTCTGGTGTAGTTTTTTGTTTTTCAGCTATATATTTCACCGCATGAGTAATTTCATGTGATAAAAGAATAGCCAAAAATAAAGTGCATGATTCACGAGAAATACGACTTCCATGAACTGAAACAAACAAAACGAAACATATTCAGTTTTCTAAATCTTTTAATGGTCGAAATGCAAGTTGATTCATTATAATGTACTATTCTAATTAATCAATGAATAAGATCAAAAACAAAATTTTTTTAAATTCTGATTTTTTCTACAGTGGGTCAAGAAATTATTGGAACACTTGCATCTAATCAAAAAGGCAGACTGTTTGCCAGCGAATACAAGGTCTGATTTTCATTCTGATTTCACCATAATGTAGCCTTATATTCTGCCTAACTACAGTGCAGATATCAAGGTCAGGATCCAAAAATTTGAAGCGTGAGACCATGATTTCTGGAAAACTTGTGTTTTTCAAAGCAAAAAATTATTGGAACACCTGCATGTATTGAGTTTCAGTTTTTCTCCGATGACACGAATATGCTTCTATAATATACCATTGGGAAGAGAAAATTCTTCTCTTCATGATGAAGTACTTTTGACAAAAAATTGAACTTGTAAATAAGTCGAAAATTTAAAAATACCAAAGGGTCTCTGGGTTTTTAGAAAACTTAGGTTTTGAAAATTTTAACTACATCAATTTTCAACTTCAAGTACACCATTCGAGAGAGCATCAAAAACTGAGTCTACAGATGTGTTTCATGATCCTGGATAGAACTCAAATATAAGGAAAAAAGGTAGTTTTTGTTTTTTCAGCTCACTGACGAATTACGTTTCGAATTTTACCAATGCTAAGAGACATGTAAAATTTTTCTGTAAGTGCAGTTTTGTAGAGAATGTTTTCTTTTCTATAGTAAAAATAAAAAAATAACATCATCATTCAAGTATATGCTGAGTGTCTTGGCGAATACGGAAGTTTATCGAACGAAAAAAGTTATTGATGACTGCATGATTATATTGGATTTTTTCCTGCAAGTGCAGATATCAAGAGCAAGAGAACTTCTATTACTGTTGTCTTCTTTTTCTTTCATATATGTATACATATATTTCAGTGAGTAAAATCAATATGTAGGTGGAATATGTATACAGATGGATACTAAAAAAGGCAAGATTAGTTTTTTTTTCTTTCTTTTTGCTTGATTGCATCTCATCAAGATCATTTTCTCATTATCTGTCTCCCTGTTTTGTAACAAATTGCCAAGAGATGGAAAAAACATATTCTTGGAACTTTAGCTTGAAAAAGAAAAATTTTGCAACTCGATTACTTGGTTGTTCGTCGATGATACATTGATGATGATGCGACCGATCTGGTTACATCTCTAAATAAACACAATTGATAGGTTTCATATTTCAATCAGTTTATGCTACTACCCGAAAACGAAAACGTCTGTAGAGTTGAACCTGAAACGAAGTTCATATGGAGCAGTATCTACTAATTGGTTAAGATGAACTGAAAAAAATATTTGACGATTATCCAGATATCAACAACTAAAGTCATATGATAGACAATCCATCTATTCTGATTAATATCTGAAGGGAATAATGCGTCAGCGTGGTGTCGTCAACGAAAATTTCTATCGAGTCGAAGAACAGTTGGCAATATGGAGTATCGATGTATGAAATGTATTATCATTTCTAAGCAAAGAACTCTAAATGCGAGATAATATGAGACATTATTTAGATATAGGTAGAACGTCATTTACTAACATATGCGAAACTGCCACAAACATTCATTCTTCAATGAAGAATGATCGCTGTTCTACAGAGAAAATTTTCATATGTTATTGTAGCGTTAAAGTGCTGGAAGTTGTCCTAGAGAATAATGCCATTCAGATGGTTAAGTATATATCGGGTGTCAGTGTGGGTGTGGGTGTGGGTGTAGATAAAAACAAGACATACATCCACACCCACATCCATATCCACGCCCACGCCCACACCCAAACCCACGCCTACACCCACACCCACACCCACATCCATACCCACACCCATACCCACACCCACACCCCACCTCACACCCCACCCACACCTATCTCCACACACCCACACCCGCTCTTACTGTTATTGTTGTTTCTTCTTTTCTTTCTTTCTTTTCCTTCTCCTCGCATCGATTTATCTATGCACAAGTTGTTAAGGACATTTTTAAGAGATATATACTAAAATAAGATAAACATAAGCTTGTCGAAACGAGGTAACACTCGATAAAATGCATACAATTGCTTCATCTTATGCGATGGCTACCACCAATTTTTAAATTTTATTATGCAATTAAAAAGTCTGAATATGTCTAACTACATATAATACCGCGATAAGAGTATAAGTGTGGTTAAAACAGTTTCCTTATTCATCATCGAATAATAGTTTACACCTTTTCAATGCCGTTACTTTTGTTCTATCAACCAACTTCTTCAAGATTACTTGATTCGCTTTATCGATTTTATCAAGTAATTTATAATATTCAGCCTGGAACATGCCATACTGTTTTGCATAAGAATTGAATAAATCATTACCGAAATTATTTCGTGCTTCTTCATCTTTTATGCATGAACGGCTTTCAACCAATGCAGTCAGTTGAATGATAGTGTAGACAAGTTGCCTATCATCTTCTGTTAAATGGCTGATAAGCTGTTCCAATTCATTGTAAGTTTGATCGTAGTCACCCTCTTCACTCTGCCGTTCTGAAGCAATTAAATCATCATAATGTTGATCATCTCGTAATTGAAGTCGACCAGGAAAGCCAACAGCTCTCGAGATGCTGTTCGCAAACAGAAGTGCAGCAAAGATGACGTTAATGATTGAACGCATTATATTTTCTCGAAAAATGAAAGAACAATCAATCAATAGCAATAATATATAGGTTATGTCTGTCTGGTCACAATAAACTGCTCACCTTTTTTGTTTAACTTTTTAGCAACATAACTATAATTTATTCTCAAATTTATACCTGATGTGCATTGTTTTTTTTCTCTAACTATTACCACAACTTTATCCATGAATAGAGGAAAGGAGCTGAGAAAATCGTAGTCTGTTTGATGTACTCGTGTGCAATTGAAACCGACATTTAGTTTTACTTTCGGAATCCAGTTTTCTGTTATATGTTAAGTTGTGCCAAATTAATAGGATATTAGTAATTTTCTCTGTAGAGTTGTCGAAGAAACGCGAAAGAGTGAAGAAAATAATAAAATTCCTTGAATTTGACAAATCTTGGCATCAATAAAAAATTCCATTAAACAAAAGAAAAAACGACATGAATTTCGGTTTCAATCACATAAGAGTATGTGTCACAGGCATTTTATGTTGAGCAACTCTCTCTCACTAATAATGGTAAAATTTTGTAGAATTGATAGAGAACCAAGCAATATATACCTTGAATAAATTTGACAAATAACAATATTAATATGAATAAAAAAAATCGTAAGAATAACGTAGGTCGTTTATTTTTGGCAAGGCAGATATATATATATATATATATCTATTTATTCACAGTTAATGTTTTAAGACTACGATCGATGAATAATATTTGAATTTTTCATTCCTTTCATCTTTTATCTCATCTTCGGTTCCTTCCCCTTTAGCATTTAATTAATGAGATTACACATCTTCATAGTGTGTTTGAAGAATTATTATATCTCTTATTTTTATCAATTCATGTGGAGAGTTATCATTCTGTATTTATATATCAAGTAGTACACTTATCGAACAAAAGAAACAAATCATTTTCTCCAAGGAAAGAATGGGTCAGCATGAACGAATCATGAAACACACAGACCTATCTCTTAAAGAAAAATAAACATTTTCAACCTGCTTCTCTAAACTTTTCCTTTTAGGTGATCAAATGTAGATTTTATTTCGATGACGCATTCATGTTGGGATATGAGAGTGTGTATGGATACATGCTTTACATCATACCGATAACCTAACCCACATGCCAATTCGAATACTATCCATCGATGATTGCCAGACTGAAACGCATCCACACTAAACAAAAACTAGTACTGTTTGTAAAATCTCAGTAAGATTTATTTTACTTTTGTCAAGATAACTAACATTATCTTCAAATATAGAGACAAGAGACTAAAAAATTCGGTTTTATACAAGAATCATTTTTTTCTATAAAGAGAACACACTTTCATTTATGCAATTTGAGGATGTGGATGTGATTCTAAATGAGTGGGAGTGTATGCATATGGTTATATTAGTGAAGAGAACACCTAGAAGTCGCAGCAACACCTATACTTTAATCGTGATCAAGACAAATCATATAGATAGCAAACAACTCATAATATCTCTCAAACATAAAACTACACTATAATCTAATTCAACGAAATCGAATTTCGTGTATTTCGCGCAGAAAAAATACCTATGTAAAAGAACATGCTCATCTTTGAGGTTGAATGTGGTTGAAATACAAATAATCACATCCTCACAAAATGAAGGGAATTTTTACGATGTTTGGTGCGTGATTTGAAAATAGATTAACTTTGTCGGTAATGTAAGGTACTTAAAAGATCAACTTTATGTGTGTGGGTGTGGATATGAGTATGGCTGCCGGAGTAAATAAGAATTATACACACCCACATTTCATGGCATCTCTATTCGATGATTTAATTACTGGTAGTTAACAAATTATGATTTTTTTTTAGATGATACAAAGATTGATAATTTTTAGTATAGTTCATTTTTCAATTGAAACAGATATCTTAGAAGATTCGACATTACATTGTATTGCTCAATATAAAAAAGAGGAAAACAAATAGCATTCAACTTCTTCAGTTGAATATGTACTGCAAAAATATTAACTTTCGCAAAAGAATATTGCAAACAAAAAGTGGTTTATTTTTTATCTGATCATATGAGAAAAAGTGATCTATTAAGGTATTCTAATGTGAATCTGAAAATCGAAATATTCAGTATAGGCTACTTTAAAGATACCAAAATGATTCAACGACGTTTATTTTTAATTCTTCTCTTCCGTCGTAAGTGTTAGAAAAATTACAAATAGTAATTCCAACAGAGGATACTGTTTTCAACAAGAATATAAAATAATAAAAATGATTACTAGATATTCAAAGACAATGCCTCAAGAAAATCAAAGTCCTTACTTTTCATCATCTAGGACGCAAACATATAACTTTATTGAGACTGCACAGAACGCTAGAGTAAACCATCTTCTACGATGGTTTTTGGGTGACATACAGTAATTTGGTTGAAGGTTAAAAGATGGCTTGAAAGGTGCCTGTAAAATTGTTTTGTCTCATTTTGTAGAAAACTGTTTGCTCTATCGTTTCAGGGAGTTCGTACGGAGGTATTGATATTCTTCTCTCTGCTATTCACACTACATCCACATCCGCAGGAGATATCATCGAGATCAATCATTCATTCTCAGTACCTGAACGTTGCTTACAATCAGAAAACATATAATAAAATTGTGAGCATATATAGAGATTCATGATTCAATCATTTATTAACCACTCATGCCTTAAATTGACTAGATGACTGAAAAGTAAAAACATCGACAATTGTATTTCGTGCAATCGGAATGAAAACAGTCGCTGGCATTTTTTTAATTCAAATCGACAAAGATATTGAAGATATGTATCCTTTTTTTTTCCGCAAAAAATCCCGAATTCATGGGTTTCGACGAGAAGTCGCTGAAAAGCTCGGGGAAATGGTAGGAACTTGAAAGAATGAATCCTGGTGATTGAATCCAGCATCCAGAATTTGCCAGTTCCGATCGAAAACCATTGTAACTGGACAAAGCTGGTCATCAATTGCATAACGAGATTTCTGCTTCCAAGTTCCTCTAATTTCCCGAGTTTTGCAGTCGAAAACGGTTGGTATTCTCTGATATAAAACGAAAAAAACTTCGTATAATTACGCTGAATTGTTACAGAAAACAATGGTGTTTTCTTTTCCTTAAGACTATTTCGAACATGCTCTCTAGAAGTTTATTCAATTAATAAAATTTCAGAATACACTTGTTTATTTGTAATAGGAGAAAAATGCAATACAAACCATAAGAAAGGATAGGCATGTAAATAGAGTCATAGAAATATAAGTGAGTATATTTAAAAGACACAAGGCGCTATGATAAAAAATGTCTTAATCACATAAATATGACAAATATTTAAAAAAAAAACAGGTTTTAAAAAAAAGGCAAAAAAAATATTTGACACATCCACAAGGCAAAATTATTCTAGATAAAGCTACAATAAAAAAAAGAATGGACGGCATTCTGAGATTAAAAAGGTGAAAAAAGCAAAATGAAGAGATTAATTAGAAGATTTTTTTTTATATATAGTTTAAAAAAAGAAATATCTATTCTAAGGCAATTTGAGATGAAAATTTCACTGTTAGCAAATGATGTCACTGGTTTTCTTTTCTATTTGTTACCAAGACATACTAACAAATACTAGTGTGTGTGTTTGTTTACATTTCACAACGATTGGTCACACTGTTTTGAAAGAATCTGAATGTGTATATGTACGAAATTTCTTTTGCGTTTTATTGTCTACAGGTAGGCAAGATATTTTAGTCTAATAGAATATTTTGTTAATAGCGTGGCCGTGATGATCTCGCACGTGTACTAGGTGATTGAGAACTGATTTGAGATGGTGATGTTGCAGCTGCAGTAGCTGCAGCTCTCATGGAACGTACGGCAAGAGATGGTGATAGAGTACGTCTATTTGGTGAACGATGACGTACAGGTGGTTCATTAATATCTGCTAATCGCTTTGTTTCATGATCTAAAAGAACTGGATCAAGACCACGTGGATCTTGTGATACAAAAGATAATGAATCAGTGATTTCACGACGAAGTGCACTGATTTCATCTCCATTAGTTAATGAACGAGTCAAAAATGTTTGACGTTTACGCATTTCTTGATGAAGTTGCTCTTTTAACGTTGTAATCTAATAATTAAATTTTAATATTTTACAAAATATTAAATATACTATTAAAATTACTTGTTCTTCGAGACCTTTAACACGTGCTCGATGTGCTTTTTCTCGTGCTTCCAAAGCACGTTCAGCAGCTGTTTGAGATGTACGAATACGTTCAGTTTCAGCCTCGGTTTCACGTCTGTTACGTGTCGTTAAATCAATTAAACTACAAATATAAAATACAAAACAATTAAATTTCTCAAAAATTTTTTTTTCTAAGCTCAAATTTGACTGTATACATTCGAGCCCATCGGATTGATCCCAAAATTCGGGACCAATCTAACGAACTATACTCTATTCTTAGAAATGAATTACCGTTGTGCATGTTGTTGTTCGGATTCATTAAGAGCTGCTTGTAAATGTTCGACTTGTTTTTGTAAAGCTTGATTTTCTTCTTCGAGTCGACGAAATTGTCGATCAAATTCTGCTCGATCCCATGAACGAAGAATATCTTCAGTAACAACACGTTCACGTTCAACCTTTTTAAAAAGAAATCAAATTAAATATTTTCAAAAACAAAAAACGAAAAATGTCAAAAATAAACAAACTTTATCTAATGTTTTCTTCAAAACATTTTTATCTTTTTCTAAACGTAATTTTGATCTTTCAGCTTCACGTTTTTCAAGATCAAGATTGCCTAATTGTCGTTGTAAAAGAGCATTCTTCTCTTGCAATGCTTGTCTATCTGATGTTAATATTGAAATTTTTTGAATTGCTTCTTGTTCACTTTCTTGACGTTGAACAAGAAGCTAGAAAATAAATATATTATCAATAATTTGCTTTTTTTTTTTCGTTTTTCTTGGTTACATACTGTATTCGTATTTCGTAATTGATTTTCTAATTCATGTCGTCTCATATCTGAATCAGTAACTTCATTTTGAAGATGATGTACACGTTCAAGTAATTCATGATTTTGTTTTTTAAGTTCACTAATTTGTGATCTGACAGATCAAAAGTTTATTTTTTTTTTGGTTTTTGAAATAGACAAAAAAAAAAATAATTTTAATTTACCGTGATTGTTCAAGTTTATCTTGTAATACACGACGATCAGCTTCACTACCTTGTAAAGCACTTTGTAGACTACCAAGTTTTTGTTGTAAATCAGCTGCTTGATAATTTGTTTGTGATAATGTTTGATTAAGTGATTGTACACGAGTTTTTAAACTTGATTCACCTTCTTCAACTTTAGCTAATGTTAAAGAAAGACGATCAACACTTAACTGTAATGATTGACATTTTTCTTCACGATCCTAAAATAAAATTTAAAAAATTTCGGCGTGAAGAAAAAAAAAGGACTCTGCCGGATTTGGTGACCAATCTCAAACCAGGATATCAATATCATGGTTCAAGATAGATCACTAGATTCGGTGAAGTTCTTCCAGTAATGAAACTTTACTTGAATTTGTTTAATTAATGTTTCACATCGTTCTTGATGTACTTGAATTTCAGTATCTTTATCAGTAAGAATCATATTTAAACGTTGAATTTCACCTTCTAATCCACGATTTGTCATTTCAAGTTCCGTTGCACGAGCGTCATTTTCTTCTAATGCTCGTTTTAATTGTCGTTTTTCATCAGACAAACGTGATTCATTCGATTTTGATAAACCCATTTTTTCCTATTAAAGACAAAGAAAAATATTAATTTAAAAATAATTTTCAAGAAATCAACGTTGATACAGAATTCTAGACTCGTTTCGTAGAACAAAATTCATCACTATCTAGGCACTTGTCTCGTTTCTATAATATTCTATGAAAAGTTAGAAACAGACAGTTCTATAAGAACATTTATTATAGAAAATGAGTCAGAATTTCTAGGTTATGATCTAAAACAAAAATCTTACAATAATTTGTTTTTTATCATTTTCCATAGCTAATATTTGTCGTTCAAGTGCAGTTATTTGATCTATCATTGTTTTACGTTCACGTTCACTTCGTCGAATAGTATCTTCATGTAATAATAAGGCACTTTGAGCACTGTGTAAGCGAGTATCTACACCTTTTTTGTCTAGTAAAAGAAGAATATATCAATTAACTTCGAATAATTTTAAAAAAGAAATAAAGAATATAATCAAAAGAAAAATTTTCAATCATGAATAGCTTTTCTTACACTGTTACCGTTCATAACAATAGCGAAATACAAAAATAACAGTTGAATATGTAGTTTATATAATCGAATAGATTACATATTAAATTTAGGAGATAGAACATACCTTCTTCAAATGACATGAGTGTTTTTTGTAATTGATTATATCGTAGTTCTGCTCTTGAAAGATTATCTTCAAGTTCTTTATTAATTCGACGTAATTGTGTAGCTTCAGCTTAATAAAAAATAAATAATTATATATCGATTTTTTTTTTTCTTAAATTTTCTATCTTACCAACACAATCATCTCGATCACGTTCAGTAGTAATAAAACTTTGAACAAAATCTCTTAATGCTGAACGAATTTGTTCTGGATCAATATCAGCTACATCAACAAATGTTGAACCAGGTGAACGAGCACGTTCAACATCATAACCTGGTGATCGTGAACGATGATGTGGACTACGTGATGTTCGTCGTAATATAGGTGATGCTCGATTTTCAATACTATCAAAACCTTTTGTTGGTGATATTGGTCGACGACGAATATTAGGACTTGGTGAACGACTTCGAAGTCGTGCACCACTACGACTACGTGAACCATAACCAATAGTACGACGTAAACTTGATACAATACTACCTAATTTATATTCTGCATCACGTTTAGCTCCTTCAACACTAAAAAAAAACAACAAGGTGAAAAATCAAAATTTGAAAACTTGTCGATATTAGTTTGGGATCGAAACTAAAGAGTATAGTTAAATGTTCTGTAGCATGAAGCTAATTCTCGTATAAATCATATCAATGAAAACATAATTCAAGAAAGAGATAACCCAAAAAAACAAGAAAATCTTATTACCGTGCTAATTGTGTATCAAGTGCACTTGCTCGTCCTTCAGCACCTGATAATGCAATACGTAATTCCGAAACCATTTGATTTGCATTTTCAAGTGTTAATTCAATATTTCGTCGTTCTTCGATAGCCTTACGTTCTACAAATAAAAATAAACTAATTATAAAGCTATTCTGATTGATTTTTTTAAAATTTCTTAATCTTTACCTAGACGTCGAGAATCTTCAACAGCTAATTTATAATCTCGTTCTTTCATTCGTTGTTCATCTTCTAATTCAACATAATGTCGTTGAATATTAGCTAATTCTTTACGTAAAACTTCTCGTGATGCTTCAGCTTCAACGAATTTTTGTTTTTGTCCAAATACTTCACGACGCATTTCTTCTTCACGTTGTTCATCTTGTCGTACACGATCAGCTAATTCTTCTAATTCTTTAGATTTCTTTTTCGTTTCACTATCAAGCATTTTAACATGACGACGTAATTCTTGTAATTCACGCCGAGCTTCTAATCGTGAACGTTCAACATCACGTAAATTATGACGTAGATCATTAGCATCTTTTAGACATTGAGATCTTTGTTCATCAAGTACTAAAATAAATAAATTTTTCTTGTTTATTTTTTTGTTTTGGATAAAAAAAATAATATTTTGAAATTTGTAGAAATTATCAATAGAAAACTAAATATGAAAATTATATTTACCAAGAATTTTTTGTTTTGCTTCATCTAATAATTGTCTTAAATCAATTTTTTCATTTTCAACACTCTTTAATTTTGTACGTAAATCATCACTTGAACGTAATGATAGTTCTTTATCACGTTGTTCATCTTGTAAATAACGTTTTAAATCATGAATTTCTTTTCGTTGTAATGTTAAATTTTCTTCATATTCTCTTATACGTCGATTAGATTCAATTAAATCACGTTTTAATTGATCACGATTTTCTTCATTTAATTTTAATTGTGTTTTTAATTCAGAATTTTCATGATTTTGTAATTGTCGTTGTTGTCGTAATTGTTCAATATCATCACTTAATGCTTTTACATCACGATCATTAGCAATTGTTGCATCTTCAAATTTAATATGAAATTTTTTTAATTCATCTTGTAATGATAATATAACTTGTCGATCTTGTTCATGATGTAATGCTGCATCACGACGTATTTTATCAAATTCAACTTGTAAACGTAATAAATCATCTTTAGTTGTTGATAATTTTTCTGTTAAAGCATTACGTTCAGATTGAGCAATTGAAAGAAACTAGAATATATTATATCAATAATGAAATTTTTTCAAATGAGAAATCAAAATTGTCCCAAAGACGTCATGTGTATGGTAACCCCCAAGATCGATTTTTAAAGGAAGTAGACTTAGTTTTCTTATGAAAAATAGTTTGAAAGATGATTTCAAATACTTCTTACTTTTTGTTTTTCATTTTCAGCTTCAATTAATGATTGATCACGTTCTGTAATAATATTAGCTAATTCATAATGTAAATCTTCTTTTTCTTTTTCATATCGTTGTACTGACTCATCTTTTTCACGTGTTAATTGTCGAATAGTTTCTTCACGTGCTACTTCTAATTCATGACGAAGTTTTTCACGTTCACGTGTCATACGTTCAATATCTTCTTCATGAGCTCGATGATGTTGTTGAATGGTTGTTTCTTTCTCATGTTCTAATTGTGATAAACGTTGATGTAATTGTTCACGTTGACGAGCTGATTTTTCAATTTCAACATTTAATTCAGCATGTAATCGTTGAATTTCACCTTGAAGTTGTTCTTTACGTAAAAGTAATTCTTGATTTTCACCTTCTAATTGTTCTTTTCTAACTTCAAGTTGACTTATTGTATTTTGTGCTTCATAAAGATTAGTTTCAAGAGCTTCTTTTCTAAATACACACACACACACAAAAAGAAATTTTATTGAAAATAAAAACCTCAAAAGAAAAAAATGATTTTAACTTACTCAGCACGTAATGCACTGATTGTCTAAAAAATAAAAGTAGTTTTTGTTTTTGAATAAAAAACTTTTTGATTTATTTACTGAATTTAATGTTTGATTGTCACGTTCTGTACCACTAAGATCAACAACTAGATTACCACGTTCTTTAGTTAATTCTTCTTTTTCTTTATTTAAACGTGCATTATGTTCACTAAGTCGTTCAATATCTTTTTTAGCAGCAATTAAATCTTCAGCTAAAGTAGTTTTTATTCGAGTTAACTAAATAAAAAAAAAATTTGTTTTTGGTGTTTAAGTTTAATTTTAAGATCATTACCTGTTGATATTGTTCAATGATTTCGACTTTTTCTTTATTAACAATATTTAATTCTTGTTCAATTTGTTGACGAGTGATTTCAGTTAATTGCAAACGATGAAGAAGAGCTAAAGGAAATCGATAAGAAGTTTCTTTTTTCTTTTTTGAAATACTAACAAGTTATTGACAAAAGACTTTTCTGTCTATGATATTATGGTGTCAAGTGAAAAAGCAATTTGTGACTTGAGAATGTCTTCTTATTAGTTCAATTTTTTGCAAATAAATTCTTAGCTATATGAAATTTTACTACTTACTATCTCGTTCATTCTCAACATCGATTTTTTCTTGTTCAACTTTCACAAGTTCCTAATAATAAAAAAAAAAAAAGATAAGTATTTTTTTTTTGTATGCATTTGTTATAATAAATACTTGTCGAAGTGTTGTTTTATCTTGTTCAACATCAGATTTTTCATTATGTATGGAATTTTTTTCTTGTTCAACCTAAATTTAAATGATAATTTCAATATTATTTATATTAATTAAAAAAAAAAATCTGTACCAATAAAATAATTTTATTTAATTCAAATTTATCTTGTGCAAGACCTTCATTAAGTGCTTGTACTTTACAAAGTAAATCTCGTAAAGCTGCACTTTCACTTCGTTCTTTACTAAGATCAAGTTCAACTTCAGCACGATAAGATTCTGAACGTGAAAGTGCATCAGCTACAAAAAAAAAAAAAAAAAAGAAAGATATAGAAACATTTGTATTTTTTGAAATTAAATCAACTTACTAAGTACATGTTTTTCTTGTGTAAGAACATCTTTAGCTAATTTTTCTTTATGATATTGTTCACGTAATTCTGTTATATCAGTTTTTAATTGTGAAATTTTATTTTCAAGATTATCAATAACTTTAATACAACGTTCATTTTCTTTAACTTGTCGACTTTTATCTTTTTGTAAATCATCTTTTTCTTCTTCGATTAAATCACGTTGACGTTGTAATTCTGTATTTGAGTGTTGTAAACGTTCACAATCAGCACGTAATGAATCAATTTGAGCATTAAGTGTCTTTGAAAATACGGTGAAAAAAAAAATAAAGATTATCAATTCATTACTTAAAAAGAAAACACAAATTTACAATACGAATTTTTTCCATATTTGTACGTTCATGATTTGATGTTTCAAGTGCTGATTTTGAACGATCACGTTCAGTTGCTGTATCATCAAATTGTCGGCGTAATTCTTCAATTTGTAATTTATAAGTTGTTGCTTGTTGATCTAAATGTCGTCGTTCAGCTTCACTTTGATTTAATTGATCTTTTAATTGTTGAATTGTATCACGAGCACTACATAATTTTGTTTGTAAATCATGAACCTTAAAAATTTAAATCATAAGATAATTAATGAAATATAATTTTTCTTTTTCTTTTTAATTCTTAAAGTTTTTATTAGATAAAATTTAAAAAGCTGTAGTTTCAAACAAATATTAGAAATAATAGAGAAAAAAAAAAGAGAATCATTGATAAGTCAATGTGTAACAATGGAGAAATAAGATGGGACCCCTGAATGAACAGGATATGGCAAAAGTCTGATCTGAAAAACAAAATATGAATATTTCTTAAATAGTTCAAGTTATTTATATATTTTCTCTTTATTACAGTATTCTGCTCTTTAAAGTTTTATTTCTAGTTTCTAAAACGAGTACTATCATCGGAAATATGTAAATTCATCCTTTTTGAAATATTTAGAGATGAAATGAACCTGCCTTTCAGTTACCTTGTGCTATAAAGTGCTGCCTAATGGCAGAGTTCTTACGCTTCCCATACATACTAACTACCCATAAGAGCAGATGTATGTCACAATATACACAGCATTCTATCGAGCAAGTCGTATAAGACTTGTCCACGATCATTCCATGACTGATGATAGTAAGCTTTGCACACAGTTCTTTCGAGATATGTGTTGATCAATGTAGCCACTCAGCTAAGACAACTGATTTATTTTGAGGTGAAGAAGTTTAGTTCTAGTCTGAATTTGAGAAACTATTGAAAATGTTCTCTGATTTCGCCTCTTTTTTGAGAAAAGCACTTTTGAGTGTAATCTTCCATAACTTTTTCGATTTACTACTATCCTATCCTATTTGGACAAATGAATTAAAAACAGTGTTTTATCTAGTGTCAAAGAACATACTATCATCATATAGGAAAAAAACAAATAATTATAAATTACTTAAACTAATTTAAAGTTATTCACGTTTTCTTTTTCAAGACAGACTTTTGAGACACCCTGTATTAAAAGCGAGAAATTAAAAAAA